AAACTCTGTACAGGACAAATGATAATCTACTTAAAGACGGAACTAAATTATTTCTAAAATGTTGATGTTGAAATTTGAAGCTAATTTCATTGCAGCCTTATTAAGTTAATCTAATTTTGTAAGTAAGTAAATTAATTATATAGCACCTATCACAGAAATCAAAATCACAAACAGCTTCAAAACAAGTCAAAGTCGTAAAATTATCATACAAACAAAAATATCATAACCCTAACCCTAACGAAAAATGAATAAAGTCAACTGTACAGATGAAAAAAAAAAAAAACCATTTAAGTAAAAGCAGCTTTAAATAGTAGTAGTGTTCCACAGTTTTTTGTAATCTTGTCCAGTTTAAAAAAATATCAACCAAACTAAATATTTCTAACAGTTGGAAAGAAAAGCACAAGTTTAACTCTACTTTTTTAGCCATTTGCTCTGCAAGCTCAATATTTCTGGCACCCTAAAGCTCAGCTAAACTGCAGAGGGACAGAGAGAACGCTGTGAGGATCCAGCTAGTGATTATGTGGGTGTTGAAGATGATCACTCTCAGCTGGCAGTTACCATGTGTACTCAACATTTGATGAAGGCCCAGCTCCTACCATGAATCCTTCTCTCGGTGACACCCCCTGACTGCGGACGTGAAGATGCGTCCATGTTCATAAGCGTCGAATATCCATGTCAACCGGCAAAGCACATTTACTTTGGAGTAAAGTTACAGCAGATTGTCATCATTTAATACTTACAGATGAATTAGGTTTCTAAAGTAAGTACTTGTCCAAAACATGAATTTCTTTGAGTAGAAATGTTTATGATTTAATAAATATTGAATTTTTCTTTGTGTGAGTGGTTGTGTGTGTTTGAGTCACAGATTTGTGAAAGCTGTCAGATGGTTTTAAAAACCTACAGAGATTAGCAGAAGTAGTAGCAACGGTGTAAGCCTTTGATTCTGTACTCCCAAAAGAAATTCCTCCTCACCACCAGGGCGACATCACTGGTAAAAAGTTAGAGCCCCTACGATGCAGAGGACGAGCAAGGGCAGCACCCAGAACATACAAAACCACAATGTGAGCCAACATTTCACCGCAAAAATGCCAAAGTGTCACTCAGGACTCTAATGAACTTAAAGGCATTTAGTGGTGGGACTAGTGGAATCTAATTGCAGTTTGTCCGTTTAATCGATATGTTGCTGGGTGATTTAAAAGTGCATGCTTGTATTACTGCATCCCAGCATGTAAGCTGCCCAGGAGTTTTTATAGCAACCACGAAATGGACTGTTGGCTGGCTGCAGCAGGAGCTAGAAAAGGTGTTTAAAGCTTAAACCAGGCATTACAAGAATCACTGCTAGTCCGGCATTATCTGAGGAAAAATAAACTGTTCAAGAAACTTATGTATCCTCTACTCAGCTGATGTTTTCTTGTACAAGACTCCACCACCTTATGGGCATGATGTGGGGCAGAGGTGATGCTTTAGAAATGTGGGGGGAGTTGAAACAAAAATAGACAGACGGTATAAAAAAGTATAAAAACGATATTTTTTACATGTTTTAAAAAGAAAAACTTTTTTTTTAATATGTCAGCAGCAGCAGGGGCACCTCCAGAAAATTTTGATAGGGGTGGCCAGACAGGGTCAAAGAAAATTTTGAGGTGGAACTTCAAAGGTTGTTGTGGTAAATCTGAAAGAGTTGCTGATGTATTGCATTGCTTCTTTATTCATTTTTATTTAAAAAAATCTGTTCGTATCTAAAAAAATTATTTTAAATTTTACAAACACAAACATTTCAGAAAAATATATTTAAAATGTTATTTCAAATTAAATTTGAATTTTTTTTGTTTAATTCACCTGTTGCGGTGTTCACAAAAAACTGTGGAGATGAACTTTTTTTAAATGGTGAGCAGCAGAAACATGTGTATTTTTTGTTCTGATTATTTTTTTAGTCATAAATTGTATTATTTCTATTTTGTTTTAAAATCATATCTTGAATAAAAAGATTGATTAATGGTTTGAATGAACATTAATATGATTTATTAACACTTGCTTTTCCTGGGGTGGGGGGTGGGGGTGGGGGCAATTTTCTAGGGGTGGCCATGGACACCGCTGGCCACCCTTGGAGGTGACATTAATCAGCAGGACAAACCCCCTGTTATCCAATAAAAGGACAAACTTTCAAATTCAGATCCATCTACTAGGCTATCTTGAAAAAGACCTACACACAACCCGTAAATCACATCTACTCATGATCCTTCGCTGTTAAGACATAACAAAGGTTCATTTATTACAAACTTTGAGGGGTTTGAGAGCATTTGGAAGTGTGTGATTATGTTTGGCACTGTTGTTGTGAAGGGTTGAGGAAAGTTCTTTGAGCTCCTCTGTGAACAGTGCTGCAGGAGTAATGACCACACCTTGGACTGGATCAAACAGATGCCTTGTTTAGTGGCTTTGCTGTTAAAGGTCAATTTGATTAAATTAATAATAAAATACGCAGCAAAAACAATCAGGTTTTGTAGAAGAATGGCATTTGTTTTGTTGTGTTTGACTTTCTTATTGGAATTACTAATAAAAAGACTGACTGAAAGGACAATAGAATTAGAGAAACTTAATAAAAGCAATCTTTAAATATATTTAAATACAATTTAAAATTGACATAAATGGAACAGAAAGAATAATAGAGTATTTCTGGGAATTTTCCTTGATCACAGTAAATATATAACATGGAGACCTCAAATCCATAGGAAACAAAAACCTGGCAAACAATTACACTATTATGAGACAATGTAGATGCCTACTCGACGACCACAAAGCACTACTCATCTTGTACTGTTCATGTATCCTACCTTATATTACTAACTGTACTGAGGTCTGGGGAAACACCTACAGTAGCCATTTGGAAACAGTATTTATAACAATGTTGGGTTCAGGAACCACACTAAAACACTTTTAGAATGTGGTTGAGCGACTCAAAAGTGAAGCAGCGTCAACTAAAAGAGCTGCTGTGTTTCTGTGGTCCCCCTCAGAGATCCAAGTGACCAGCATGACTACAGCCTCGCGTCAGAGCCGGTCTGCACGTCCCAGGCAGGAAACACGAGAAGCCGGGACCTGCTCAAGTTCCTTATCCAGCCATCAGTCCCACTAACACGTTTGACCTAGCAGTTAAATGACACAGCATTTCCCCCCGTTCAACCAGTGGAATAAAGTACAAAAATATAATTTTACTTACTGATAAAAGAAGCAGAAACTGCTTGGATGATTTGTTAGTACTGTCCAAATATTTCCATGATTGACATCCAAACATGAACACACAGACAAAACTAAAGTTCAGAGAGTCTAAATGGCCAAACATCTGTTAACGTGAGGCCCAGGCTGAGGCCTTTCCCCGGAGTCATGTGGCTCTGATGCTCGTTTATTATTCAGAATTTGAAGCACTTAATTCCACTTAAACAGAAGGGTTACAAATATTCACCCCCCTCCGAGTCGTCATGAATGTAAAGTAGATCTATTAAACCTAAAAGGGTTTTTGAACCAACCATGTTTATTTCTGCTGTGAAACTGGCATTTTTACCATGGGAGTCAATGAGGATTTGCTCACTTCCTGGTGCCAGCCTCTAGCGGATGAGGGTGGAACTGCAATTTTAGCCACTCGTTCTTGGCTTCAACAAATGCAGACAAAAATGGCTCCTTGGGTCATACCAAAGACTTTCAAAATGGGACCCAACGCCTCCTTGCTTGACACTCAGCATTTAAGTAGCTTTCCGGAAGTTTCTCCTTTCAGAAATTATGCTTTTTTTTTTTCAGAAATCCATAAAAGTGATTATCTAGGGTGACCATATTTCCATTTCCAAAAAAGAGTACAGGATATCTGTGCCTACCGATGACGTCACACTAGGGCTGGGCGATATGGCCTAAAATCAGTGTTCCGTTTAGCCATGGCCCCCAAAATGCCTTGAAACGGCCCTGGGTGTGTGACTGAGTTTTGAAGGTGATCTGAATTGTATCAAATGTATAATTATTACATGCGTATAACTTTGTTTTACAAAATGTGTAGTTGAGATAAATCTACCTACATTTTACTGTCAAACACTTAGCTTTGTTTTCTTGTTTTTATTTATCTATTTTCCTGTCCTGTCTCTCTCATCTTCCTGCATCTCCTCTAAACTCTCTAGAAAATCTGCTGCCTGGATTCTTACTTTTTCACCTCATCAGTTACTTCTGAGCAGACCAAAGGGATCTCCTGACTGCAAAGCGGAGTGCGCGTTTCAATGCTGCGTCAGTGAGGTGAAATCACCGCTGCACACGATGAGCGGAGTGCATCAGGAACAATTAAAAGACTACCAGAGGATTTAAACAGATATGAACGATCATGTGTTAATAATAGTGTTTTGTTGCGCCACCTTGAGAACGTATCGTGCGCCGGACGTAGCGGGCGCACCAACGATCAGCGCTCTGCGTCCTCTCCGCTCAACAGAATCTCGCCAGGCTGAAAGTCCATAAATATTGTAATATAGGCAGAAACTGGATGTTTCCCTGAAAGATATGTAGCCCCCACAACTCGATCCCTGCTCCTGGATGAAAAACCGGACATTTTGATCAATGTAGGAAGTAAAATGTTGAATATATAGAATGAGGGGTAGGTGAACGTAAGCTTCCCTGTTTCAGCCTACTCCTTTTGATCGTCATTGTAATGTTGTGGATTTTGTAAGAATACAAGAAATTATTATCTCAAATCAACTAAATATTAAAATTTCAACCTTTTTTTTTTCTTGGCCCTAATTCCAAAATCAAATTTCCAAAATTCCATTTAAAAATTATTCTGTAAATAGCATTTCAGTTTTTTCTGAACATTTTAACTTCATTCGTATGACTAGATCACCGGCTCCTCTTTAACTCTGTGAGGGATCTTTAAAGGTTTTTTATTTTTTATTTTTTTACTTCAATACAACCTTGTTCTTAAACTAAAGATATACACAGTTGCATGAGCAGGCGTATGTGATTGATTTTGTTGTTCATACCTGGCAAGATATTGACCTGAAGAAGGCATTTCGAGATGGTTTGGCTTGTCATAACAGTTCAGTATGTTCTGAACCAGCGCTAAGTCCGGGTTCACCATGGTTGCTGCCGTGACCGCTCGTCCGATCATCTGCAAAGCATCTCGTATGTAGAAGCTTATCGGCTTACGACCAACCTCCCCATAGGCCAGAAGTCCAAGGGGACCTCCTAAAGTGTGCAATGAATCTGGAGATAAAGGGTATCCCATGATCCACTGCAGTGCAGGTAGTGATGAAGCGAGCTGCTGAGCAGCCCGCAGGACAGATGAGAGGCACTCGGGGTCAGACCCCAGGAGAAGCACAGAGGAAATAGTTGAGGGGGAGCGCAGGAAGCTGGTGGTGATGATGTTCAAAGCCTCCTCTTCCATTTGATCCTCCCTTTTCTCTTCACTGGCCTCCCCCCTTCTATCACTACCCCCTGTGATGCGAGTCAGGTTGATGATGTCCCACAAATGCCAGGCAGGACCGCTGTGCCTCTGCAGGTGAGTCAGCAAGCCATCGCTGCCTTCATCCCATCCAGGGCAGATCACAGCTGCTCCTCCCCAGTTGCCATCTCCTCGGTTTCCTCTCTCTCTTCCCCCTTCCCCACCTTGCAGGACTGCGAGCAGTAAACTCCCCAGGCTTGATGGAGGCACACGGGCAGACATCTGTAGGTGAAATTGATTCTATAAGAGAGAGAAAAAAATGATGCAAAGGTTCAAACAACAACAAGTCGAGTGAAAATTTAAAAGGCACAGAAAAAGAGAAGAGCACAAAGTCACAAAAGATGGGAAAGGGAGACAAAAAGAGAAAGAAATGATTAGAAAAGAGATTAGTACACATCACAAACCCCAATACTTCAGGGCTGAACAACATAAAATTCCACTAAATATAGCTTTTAGCAACACCAATGAGATTCAAACAATTCCTGTTGCTTTAGCAATTTACCACAACATGATCAGAAACAAACATTCATATTTGTTCATTATCTCTCACTCTGAATAAAAAGAGTCACACTGTTTCAAACAAGGAGTCAATGATTCACATCTAATCTGCGACATCACAGTTGGCTTGGCAAGACAACAGTAGCATCCACAGTTCATCCAGAAGCCTGCATTTTGAAACCCCACTGAAAACACTGGCTTGTTTCATACTGTTCCAAAATGGATAGCACTGTTGTCCTTGAATGGAGCTCACAGATGGACCCCCCCCTCTCATCCCTTTGAGGATGTCTATCCATTTTTCATCCTTTCAGTGCTCCAGGCAAGGTTGAGGGGAGAGACTATGTTTCTATAGATAAGCCAAAGTTTAGCCGAACATGACATAAGATTTGCTTTGACTGGCTTCACACCACCACCAAACTGAGATAATACGTGTGCAATTGTCCTTAAAAACACCCGATGAAACAGGTTCAGGAATACGAACCCACACATTGAAAGTAATTTTATTAAACCTGCAGGTGTTTTGTTCAGGTAGGCTGGATGCATGGAGACACTTCTGAAACACACACACAGTCACACACATAAACGTGTGTTTGAACATATTTAAGCTAAACTCCAACTAAGATGGGTTCATTCAAATGGAAACATCCCACCAGGGAGTACAAAGCTAACAGAGCAACCCTCTGCTAAAAGTCCTTGAGTCCCACAAGAGAGTAAAAGAAACAACATGTTTTTTGAAGTCTAGAGAATTAATGCAGCCTACAGTATGTATTTATCTTCCTGGAACGGGCCAGGTGTGTTTGAGGGGACAATTCAAGATATGTTCGTTGGAACTCAGTGGGGGGCCTGAGGTGTGGCTTTCGAGAGGGATGGGAGGGTGATTGATGCGTCGGGTTTTTGGCGAAATGGCAGTGGGTGGCATGGATGAATGGAGATAGGAAGGTAGCGCCTGGAACAGGTGTAAGCATTAGTCAGCCTATTGTTCCCAGGGATGAAATCAGCATCATGCATGTTTTGTTTAAAGGCTCAGAGGACATAAAACTGGGATGATAAAAGATCACCGCAGGGCCTCGAGGCAGTGGGAGGAATTATCTGCACGTGTTGATTCTAAATCCCTTTGACTATGATCGGTCAACATCATCTACTGTACGTATAGCTGTGATTCAACGCAAACTAGGTATTGAAAAGTTGGTTTTTGTTATTAATCAAAACAACAGATTGGTTGGGGGTGAAAAGCTGTTAATGACAACAACAGCCCATGTAGCTTGTTAGAATGCCAGAGAGGGATTCATACAGTATACATCACTGTCAAATTAATTGTAATAATGTTCATCTGCTGGATATCCTACAGCTGTATCAGCTGTTTTTTTTAGCCAGCATTCTTTAGAATACTTTCTTCTGCCCAATTACAGCTAGCTTGCTTGACTTTTGAAGATTCTTTTACAATTTCAATTACATTTGAGGCACTAAGCTGGGGCTCTCATCCAGATGGACCCTCAGCAAGCACAACAGTAGAATTTCCTCAAAAGCGAAGATGTGAGAAAAATAATAAGGGGTAACAAGAGTATTACAGGAGAAGATGCTGCTAGGTGAGAAAATGAAAGTAAAGGGAAGAGGTGGATGTTGGAACCTAATGTGATTCTGAAAAGATAAGATGATATAAGAGTTTTCTTTTTTTCTAAACCCAGCAGCATCTGTCCATACAATGAGAAAATATGATGTTGAGTAGAGAAATATATATATATATATATATATATATATATATATATATATACATACATACATACATACATACATACATATCTATCATCTATCTATCTATCTGTCTATCTATCATCTATCATCTATCTATCTATCATCTATCATCTATCATCTATCTATCTATCTATCTATCTATCTATCTATCTATCTATCTATCTATCTATCTATGTGTGTATATATATACAGTGTATATATACAGTGTATATGTGTGTGTGTGTGTGTGTGTGTGTGTGTGTGTGTGTGTGTGTGTGTGTGTGTGTGTATGTATGAAGTAATGATGCATTGATTCCAAAAGGAGGTATGTGAGCAACACATTGCAACCATGACATGATGAGAAACAATTTATTACCCTGCAGTATGATACAATACGATATTCAATACAAATGTTGTACTACAGTTTGCAATGAGATACAGTGTGATGCAGCACAATTCATGGTTTATGTTTAATGCACCATACAAAACTACACTGATTCAATATATTGAGATCAAATCCAAAATATCATGACAACGCAGATGATTAATAGTTTCACATTACTTCAACACATTTTTTAAGGTGTGGATCACTCGTTAAATCAATTTATTTGCACTGGTCTCCAGTAGAAATGCATGCCTTGAAAGTCGTACTCTGAAGAAACAGCTCAGATGCACCTGTTTCAGCACCTAGATGTGAGCCACACCAGAACTGAGCTTCAGATGGCAGGATTTGGAGTCTTGTCACCTCAAACTGGATAACAGCAATGCAACTCTACTACTGATTCCATTCACTCTGCGACAGTGATGTTTTATTGGCAAAAATAACACAAACTTGAAGGAGTTCTGGACTGTGGTGGAGTTACTAATGCTAACGGTTATGCTCCTTCATACCTTCATGAGTTGCTTAATCGAACACGCCACTCCGTTCCCTCCGGTCCACTGACCTGAACTCCTGACGGTACCTAAGAGGTTTTACAAACCTTACACATAGCTCAAAGTATGGAACGCTTTACCCGTTTACATCAGGTTGGCTCAGTCACAGACTCAGCTCAAATCTCAAGGCCTTTGGCCCATAAATCCACCACCCCTCCCTTCTTATAGACACATAAGTCCTTGGAACATTGTGTCTTGATATTCTTTTATAGCTTTTTATTTCTGTTGTTTCCAGTCTTATGGTAGGAATTACTCATAGTGTGTTTTATCACTTATTCATTGCGTATGGGTTGTATTATCTGGGAGGACCTTGTTTCGCCCCCCTTTTAATGGCCCTGTATTTTCAGCTCCTTGGTCAGCTGTAACTCTGTTTTAAACATGATTTTTATATAAAGGATGGATGGAGAGACAGATTAACTTCGACTAGCCGAGACGTTCTCTGCTGTTTTCTGGATGATAAAACAATAAAAGTCTTCCCCAACGTGAGTCAAGATGGGTGAGCCCATGAACGTTCAGTGAAACGATGACATTGATCTGTCAGGCTTTTCAGATCCTAGCATTTTCTGCCAGAATCTAGTGCAGGACATAGGTGTAGAAGACTATTTTCATCATAAGCCTGCATAAAAAACTCAGTAACCAATTATAATCAGAAACAAGATTTTAAAAATGTGTTTTCAGTGGTTCACGCTTTTAATACATGATGTAAAAAAGTAACCGCTGGCGCATGGATCTCATTACCAAATAACATTTTTATTGCCTGTGTCTTTCAACTTTTTAAACAACACAAAGCTCCTGAAGTGTGGAATAGGTGTGGTGATGAGAACCTCACCTGCGCTATAGATGTTGTATTTGTCATAAAATCACAAGTCCAGTTCCTCTGGCTAAAGGTTTTTTGCTTATCAGCATATCTCAACAAATCCATTGTTCTCAGAAGTCCTAAACGACATCTTAAAATGCTAAATAATTGCAATAGTGTTACAGCAGCATAAATGGCCAAAATCTGTTGAAAACTGGCCTAATTTGGGTCTTACAGATGTAACAAAAATTCAAGGAATAAGTAATAAATAATTAAATACATAATCTGCTTCAAGGGTTTTAATTGGGGTGTGATGAATTTTTCATAAATATCAATTCTGCAGCAACAGATAAAAAGGTTTAATGTTCAGTCTTAGTGTTTTTAAACCTCTAAGAACACTTGATTAATTGGAAAATGCACTATAAACCAAACCACTCAGATGCTATTCAACCTATGGCTTAAAAATGGAAGATCAGTGGCACTACAAGCTTGGGCATCATACTCCTTCTGGTCCAACCAAAGATTCTGATTCACTGACGTCATCAATTAAATATTATCAAAAGAACAAGAAGTTTTAGATTTACAGAGGTGTCTCCAGAAAGTCTTCGGTTGAACTCAAATAATGTTTCCCTAAACCGCATCAATGTAGCCTAGCAAGCTTTCCTATAAATGTGAATAGAGAGAAAAATCCCTTTTCTTCGGCTACTGCCTGTCTAGATTTCTAAGCTATCAGCAAAGGTCTTTTGTGATAAAATAAAAAATATATGTACATTTGAAGTTTAATTTAAATTTCAATTACCTCCTTCAATCTAAGCACTTTGCAGATGATCTAACACTTTTTCTTGACATGACACATCATAATCACAAATAATTTTTCTCTTCTTGAGCCAGCTCACCGTAAGCCCCAAACTGCTCACTGGCATTCATTTTCAAACAATAGCAAAACTCTGCATACAGCATCTGGAGGTACAGCAGAATATGCAGAACAATGAAACCCTGCCAGTTATCATTCCAGCTTAATCCGGCGTGTCTTAAAATCAAGCTGGCAACATCTATGTTTATCCCTATGACACACTAGATTTAATGCATGTGTGTGTTTATGCAAAGTGGAGTGTGAATTGTGACAAAATATTTTCAGGTCTTCTGTGGTTGTCCACATGAATTTGTCTTTGTTTTTTGACATCTGGTGCTTTGGCTTACATTTGGGAATGGCAGTGTTTACAGTTATGAAATATTACATTTTCTAATGTTCTAATATTTTAAAGAAACTTGAAGGGTGGTT